AAGATGGTATTAGAGGAGAAACCATGATACAATTATATAACCATATAATTGACTATATATTACCATATGATTGAATATATAATTTTCAGTCTTGTATATATGTATCTGTATCTGGCCATTTCTGGATCATGGAAATAAAGATGATTTTTTTTCCTCTTTTTATTTATACTAGTTGACATTTTCTAGTTGTTATAATTAGCACTAAGTATTTTTATAATTAGAAAAGCAAGTTCATTTTTAGAAGGGGAAAAAATAACTCCTCAAAATTGAGAACAGGAGGGGACTGGATTGATTCTCCGTGATCTTCAAGAACCACAATTTAGGTAGGATGAGTTTATTTGCAAATTCCTCCCCTCTTCCAATCTTGGGGGTAAAATAACTTCTGAAGTGAAGGAGGAGGATGATTTTGGAACTAAATGTGACAACTAACATTTATTGCCAACTTATGTTTATGTGTACGATCATTTGCTATTAATAAATGTGTGTGTTCTCACTCCAGCTATATCATCAGTCCTCCAGGACAAGGTATCACCTTTGGTTTCTTTGGTCTCTCCAACAGTGCCCTTACTGGCACTTAACAGCTACTGTTGACTGACTGCCTGACAGATTGGCTGACCCTGCCACCACTCTTAGGTTTCAGGCTCACGAAATGTGTTAACATCTTGCCTCATTTTGCTTTGGGTCCGAGAAGTCATGTTCCTTCCAAACTTGCCACATGAAATCCAACCACTGAAATACAGGAACCATTCATCAGAAAATGTATTAGACCTTCCTTCTCTAGGTTTGTGTGAGTGGCAAGATCCTAATGGAATTTTTCAAAAATTCCATTAGTTTTATGGAAATATGCTGGAAGAGAATGTGTTAAAACTCTTTGATTTTGAGTGACCACAGCCATCCACACCAGTGCATTTGGCATCTCTAGTAACTGGTTACTTGGAAGGATTTAACAAGGAAGATTTTCTTTTCTTGGGTTGGCTGTTAGAGTGATAAAACATACTGTGAGGCCATTCTGGTTTTAACAGTTTCTCACATCGGCCAAGATACCCAGAGACAGGAATTACAGTCTACTTTGCCCTCCTCACTCAAATGCAGACTGGGAGATAGAGTCCAGAAAGTTGGGTTTAATATTGAACAACCTTACATATATTTTACCATGTCACAGACCTTTTAAACTTACACACACTGTAACACCCAAATATAGATTGGAGCCATATGACATCTCTGATCACTCTCAGAAATAGGAAAGAAGATAAGAAGGGGAGAATGGATTGGTTTTCACAAAAGGCTAGTGAATGTCTCTATCACTGTCTCTGAATGATTAATCTCCCTATTTGGGGAGTTGGGGGAATTTAGTGGAAAATGTCTTCTCTTCTTGGAGAATATCACACTGAGGACTGCTATCAGGGAATTTATGGGTGATGATTTTGAGAGCCACATAGGCGTATAGATAGCAAATATCATTATTTTGCTCATTGAGGAGAGATTACATTGTAATAGGTCAACTACGAATGGTTCATGGAAGTGCCTTCCTCCTAATGAGTATGCTGTGTTTACATGTGTCTAACAAACAGGTATCCAAAGTCAAGATCAATTCAAGGAACTCCCCAAACCACACAGCTTCAATTTCTGGTTCCTTCAAACCACTCAGACTTGTTACTGTTTTGGACTCTCACTAGTGCATGTGTCAAATAGTGGATGTGGGTCAATTAGTGCAGGATCTAGGAACCATAGGCAAGAAGAATATAGCTTCAGGTCTCTGAAGGACCAAAAATATTCCATTTTCTTGGAGTATAGTCTCCTTTTAAAAATATAATGTTGAAATCTTAATCCCATATTGGGGTTGTGCCACATGCCTTCTGTTGTGTCTATTCTTATATTTGGTTATTGTTGAAGGACTCAATTGCTTTTTTGGAAATTTCATTTTCCTTAATAAAATTTACCTTATTTTCGAGAACTTTATCATTGAAAAACAATTTTGCATTTTATTTTACTTGTTCAGCAAATATATACATTATGTGAATTGTATTATTAAAATATATAAAATTATTAATTAGTGATAAAAATTATATAATATGTAAATATTAACTCATTCGATCTTCATAATAACCCACTGAGCTGTACTTACTGCTGTTAATCCCATTTTACCAATTAGGAAACAGAGACTCTTCAAGAGGCTAAATAGTTTACCAAGATCACAGTTACATAGTTGAGCTTGGATATGAACCCAGGAAGTCTGGCTCCAGTACTTGCTCTTCATCATTATTAAAATTCAGGAAAATATAAAGGCAAAAAAATATCTAGAGACGTGACATTTTGTAATTTTTATGCTGTGAACACTTCTACATGACTGAGCCTAATCTTTATGTTCAATTTTGTATCTTGCTTTTAAAAAAAAATCTGAATCTTATAATGATTTTTCCATGTTATTAAATACTCCCTATAAAATTTCTTTTAATGGCCATTTAATGTTCCTATCACGCAAGCGTGCCACTCTTTGCTTAACCATTCTCTTGTGGTCATTTTGGCCCCTGTAATTTCTGTTATGCTGTTATGCTCATTAGCAGTATGATGATTCATTCTCTTTCTCTCTCTCTCTCTCTCTCTCTCTCTCTGTATAATACCAGGGATTGAACCCAGGGGCACTTATCCACTGAGCCACATCTCTAGCCCCTTGTTTGTATTTTATGTAGAGACAGGATCTTGCTAAGTTGCTTAGGGCCTCACAAAATTGCTGAGACTGGTTTTGAATTTGTGATTCTCTTACCTCAGCCTCCCAAGCTGCTGGGAGTATAGGAGTGTGCCACCGCACCCAGCTATGTGATGTCTATCTCTATGAAGAATTTTTTCATAGTTATACTTTTAGGATACTTTCTCAGAAGTAAAATTCCAAATCCAAGAGAATGTATACTCTTGGGATATTTCTACATACAGGTTTTAAAATTGTTTTCCAAAAGAATTGGGGAAAATACACTTTTTGCAATGTCTGTGGCATTGTACCTTCTTCAGCACTCATATATCAGCACTAACAACAGTTTCTAGAGCTCTTTGCTAATGTGATAGGTAGAACGTGGCATTTTATTGATGTTTTGATTTTTATTTCTTTGATAGCTTGAGGGTTGGCAGTTTGTTCATGTTGGTTGATCAATTATATGAATATTTATGAGTGTTCTATTTGGGTCCTTTGCCTGTCTTGTCTATTGAGATCATACAAAGTCCTTTGGGAATCATAGAGAGAACAGTCAATAGTTTCCCCTTCTTCTCCTTCCTGGACATGGAATTTCCTTAGGTATTTTCGTAGTCTATATTGCTAGCAAGTATTAAATCATCCCCCAAAACTTATGTGGATTTTTTTTCTGTCAATTCTATATAAGGTGGGCTATTGTCTGCTTATAAAAAATATTATTATTTTAGCTTCTGAGTGTACCCTGTGCATAAATCTGCATTTGATCTGTTTTGGATCATAAACTCCCAGGGGGCCTGTCTGTGTCTCTGGAGCAGTTAAGTACACATTCTTTGTTAATGTTCATAGGAACCAGAGAATACACCTCCCAGACCAGTGTGATCTGAGCACTTACTCAGGCTACTTGAGGGTCCTAAAGAGCAGTGAGAAGATTGGTGAGTGCAGTAGGCCAGATGCATCAGTGCATCCAGGTTTTACTTAAAGACAGCTAAGAACAACCCAAATAGCACCACTCCTACATGTGCACGGGTGGCTCAGATTACTTTTACAGGCATAAAGCCTTCTAGCCCTAAGAAGAGGCAAATCTAGTGGAAAAAGACATTCAGGACCAGGGCTCCAAAGTCCATGAGTTGGTTCTGTGATGTCCATGATGTAGTGTTTGTGGATGAGATCCTGGGGCACTTTCTCTATTAATGCCTTCACTTTTTCTATCAAAGACAGAATGGGAATATCAATAATAAACTGACATTTCTAAAGTACTTTAAAACTTCTAGGTAGACTTCCTTATCCAGTGATTCACTTAATCTTCACAATAGCCCTGTGAAGTAGACTATGACATTCACATTTTACAGTTGAGGAAACAGGCACAATGAAATGTAGCATTAGAAAGCAGCAGAGCTGCGGCTCTCCCCCCATTAAAGTGTAGAATTAAAATTGCATTATTATATTTTTAAAAGCACATTACACTACAAGAAAATAATCTCTTGATTCAAATGTATCATGAAGCAAAGAGAAAGAAGAAAAAGGTAAGGAATTATGGAAGATTTTGGAGAGCCACAGACTAGGACCACTTAGGGAACCAAGAAAAATTTTTATTGAGGGGGGAAGAAAAAATTGAAGAGGATAGATGAAGTAGGATCATCAATAGATTGATGGTAATTCTCAAGTATTAAGAAGTCTTTCCTCATATTTTTTATTATGTAATCACTTTCAGTTTTCCAGCTTACTACAAAGATCAACAATAATAATTGTGAAGTATAGTATATCCAACCATGGAGTCCTATGTACCTATTTAAAATAACTAGGAAGATATAAATATGAATCTTATCCATTGGAAAGACAGGTAGATGGATAAATAGATCTATTTTGTTGTTTTTGTTGTTGTTTGTGTGTTAGGGGAGCCTTCTTAAGAGCTTTCTGTAGGATTTTGCGAAATGTGAAAAACAAAATAAAACATAGGATAAAGGACATTAACAAAGATGCATTCAAAACCAGATGGGAAGACCTGGGGTGGGAATATTCCCTGGAGGTAAGGCTTTAGGTATCCAGGATTCTTGAAGAATTGATGGTAGGTAAGAAGCCCTTCTGCTTTGGATACTAAAGTACAAACTAAAATTGTGTAAGCCTACACATTTTGAAATCCCTCTGCAGTCAAAGAGCTTCAGCCAAAATTATGTTCCAGAAGCTTGTGTGGAAGATTTTACAAATGGCCCCAAGAGGTAAAGGCATTTATTTATATGAACCCAGGCTGAGTGAGGTTCTGGCTGGGATGGAATGATCTTGTGCCCTGGAGTAACTCAGTGCCTTGCTTGCATTTCAGGATTTTATGGACAGCTGCAGACCTTCTGCCCCCCGCATTACCCCGACTCCCAGAGAACTGTGCCTCCTGGCAGCTCCTGCAGTGTGGTGCCTTCCTTTGAGGACTGCCTGGTCCCCACGTCCATGGGCCAGGCTGGCTTTGATGTTTTCCACAGAGCCTTCTCGACTCACTCAGGCATTGCAGGTGTGTTGGGTATCTCTGACTTAGAAACTCGGGCCAACTGGCAGAAAAGACCAGATGGGTTTCCTGTGACCGGACTGGACCAGCCTTGACCAGCACCTGAGAACCTCATATCCTCGCTGGGGTACCCCTGAAAGGGCTCCCATCTCCATCCCATCTCAGCCTCACCCACGCTCCATTTCAGTTGCCATCATCTCTCCCAGACTGTGGCAATGGACATACAATTCCCAGTCACTTCTCCATCTCTATAGTTCTGCTTTCCAAACTACCTTGAGCACTGTGTTCCAAAAATTAGGGACAAAGTACAACCCCCTCTTGCTCAAGTACCTTAAATAGTTTCAACTGGCATAGAGAACAAACTCTTCTTTCAAGTATGACATTTGAGCCCCAGTGGCTTAGGCCCATCCATTCTCCAGACCTACCCACACATATCTTTCCTACACACTCTTCTCCTAATATTTGCTTGCCCCCTGGATCCCTCATACACCTCCCTCCATCTTTGTTCCTAAGGACAGGGACCTGCTGAAGGGCTTACACCAGGCTAGCATTGTGGCCTCATCGGCCTCCAGCCAGCATGTAGGGAACTATATTATTGTACTGCACAACTGGCCTGTGTAGCATGGCTGGCATTACTGACCTCTTGCCTTCTTTCTCTTCCAGTGTATGATTTGCCTTCAGCTTCCTCAAGCCTTTTTGGGGAGTCTCTTCGCAATGGGCCTGAAGACAACACGTTCTTGCAGATCAGTGCTGTGGACCGTTGTCCTAGCCAGCTCTCCTCTGTCTATACTGAAGGCTAGAAGCATCCCTGGTCTCTGCTGCACATCCAGAACCTTTTGGTTGCTTGCCACCTTTTGTTCTCATACTCTTACAGAGTGCACGAAGAAGGATGTCAACCAAATCAGTGGGACCTGTAGGGTCACTGTCTTTGGAAGGCAGGACTAGATGGTCAGAGCTGGCTTTACAAGAATATTTGCAGTTGCTCCTTTTTCTCTCTGGGTTTGCTGGACCAGGTGGCCAGCAGGACTGTCTTCTGAAAGGGAATTTAGAGTCTCACTCTACTGGATACCTGTTACTTCCTGGATGTCAGCCCTCAAAGGACACCAATGAAATGATGTGCATATGAAAAAGTAGTTTGGGGGTAACCCTTGCTGAAAACTCCAAAGAGGGAAGGACAGCCCATTAGCAGGGGCATATCGAGCTGTCTCACCCAGTGTTCTCCCTCGTGGCTGCTGGGGCACAAGGAGGGAAATCCATTTCCAAAGCACAGTATGGTCTTAACACATGGCAACTCCCTGGGTTTCCCTCTTCTCTTAGATATTCTCATGCTAACCGGTTGCTTCTCAGTATTTCTCCAATGACAAAATAAGTTTTTATATGTCAGCTTTCTACTTTGTTCTTGGATTTTAAAGACTTGTTACTTACATCTTCTTTAAAAAGAAAAAATTTAAAGGTTTGTTCTTTGGATAGAAATCATTATTAATTCAATCACCCAGTTACACTTATTTTGCCACAGTATGGCTCTACCTGGCCCCATCCCAGGAATATTAGTTTTACAGTTAGCACAAGGCTACCTGAGGGAAACAGGGTAGGCTCTCTCTCTCTCTCTCTCTCTCTCTCTCTCTCTCTCTCACACACACACACACACACACACACACACACACATGCATACACCTACCTGCTCCCAGTGCTATAGCAGGAACCCTTCTGGGTTGACTGCTCATTGACTTGAAAACATTCAGTGGAAAAGGTCATTTGATTGATCCCCCATTGCCTGCACTCTGGTGTTCTGCCTGAGATGTGCCAGAAAACAGGAGAACAGGATGCACAGCATCACAGCCAGGGTCCTCTTGGAAAACCAAACCAGGAAGGCCTGATATCCATTTTATTTGCATAGCCTCTGCTCAGCTCCTTCAGGGAGTCCACTTCTGTCTCCTCTGTACTTGTTCCCTCTCTCTTTTTGAAGAAATCCCCACCACCTGCCTTATCCTATCAACTCTTGGAGAAGTAGAGGAAATGGTTCACAAAAGGTGGGCTGAGAAGGGAACCCTTTTTCAGAACTCTAGTTTAAAGGCTTGGAATTTTTCACAGTGCAATTGACAGTTTTATATCAAGCCTAAATAGGAAGTAATTTTCAGTGACACCTTTACAAAGGTATTTAAAAGATACTGTGTCCTAGGGCATAGGCTGTAAAACTTGGCCATACCCCAAAGATTCAGTCCATTACAATATTATGGTACATTCACATTTCAAATTTCTTTTTCTGTCTTTAAAAAAAATTTTCTGAACAAAAGTGAAATAATGCTATTTATCCAACTGAGATAATTGCAGGCTTCAACAAGACAATTAAATAGCTCATTGTCAGACTTGGGATCCTGTGACAGTTTCTATCCTGATAGACATGTCCCTCCATTCTGGTTCCAAAATCAGAAATGTTCTACCTGATCCCAGTATTCATTCCAACTCATGGTGGAATGAGGGGAATAAAGAACCAAGTGTGGATTCCATTTTTTCAACACGGTTGATCTAGTTTCTCCTGCTAGTGAGCTGTGTTCTAAGGAGAGCTATCATGCAGGTGTCCAAGTCTGCAAAAGATGTAAATTATCCACTTTATAAAAATATCTGCTGTGCTTTCCAAAAGGATGCACATCAAGCTTCCTTGATAAGTGAGTTCTCAGGCTGCATGTAAAATCCCACCCTGCTACAAACTTGGTTGGTTGTGTTACTTGGCCTAAGCAAGGAAACATGCATGCTAACATTGGCTCGGTCACTAGTATCCCTCATTTGTCCTCTGTCACACTCTGGAAAGAAGGGAAGACTCTGCTATCTTTAGAGAGACCATCTAGCTGTTCTTAAATACTGAAGCTTTTACAAGTAACTCAAAATGTATTTTATTTGTGTGATGAGGAGAAAAATGATGTTAAGGCATGGATGGTTGTTATTGCAGTTGATGCTGTCAGCCCTGCTTTGTGGTTTAATTAATTTCAAGTAGAAAGGGGAAAGGACAAAGCATGATGCTGAACCTCAGAGATCAGGGATGTCATATACCTCTTTGGTTGAGAGGAGATGCTGTGAACCAGGCTCTGGTCTCATGGTGGTCTATCACAGTGACCCTGATTCTTCCTTGTCTAAGCTGGGTTTGGGGGGATCCAAAGAATGGCCAGGTGGCAGCAGCACCTGTAGCTCCTCCTTTCTCAGAAGGATTTCAAGGCCTGGCCCCTAAGAGAGATATGTGCTGTCAGAGAGAACAGTATGCAAGGAGCAGGGCCCAGTATGGCTCCTCAGAGTTTCTTGATGACTGCAGGTTGGCAATCAGGGCCTAGGACATGACACATTCAGGTTCCTTCAGACTACACAAGCTGTCCTTAGACTCCAGAATTTCTCTGACTTAAAATTTGTCCCTTGCTTCCTTTCACACTGCAGAAGATTTTTATGTACTTTCACCAGAATTTTGTATCAGTGAAAGTAGAACTTCAGAAAATCATTTCCTTCCATTTACTGGCCTTTTTAAGTCTCCATATGTAGCCATTTTCATAAGCATCCAGAGATTGTCATTCCCCTTTAAGAACAAACTAACAAACAAACAACAACAACAAAAGCGGTGCTTGTGAAAACACACACAGCCCCTTTGGCCAATTATCCTATTACACTGAAAAATTTAAAAAAAATCAGTACACTTAGAGACCTCTATTTCATTTGCTGCATTATCTTGATTCCCTAAAGGGACTGCATCAAAATGTAGCTTGTAATTTAGCCTCTGATCAGCATTTAAAGATTATTTAAATATTTAATGGGCTTGTCAGGTCTCTCCCTTTGCCCATGTCTTCCCCAAATTACATAGTGATTTTAACATGGAAGAGAAGTCTTCAGTAGGTCACAGCATAGATCCACTGATAATGAAGTGTTGGTTTTGTTCCATTGTTTTTGAATTAGCAGCTGTCAAGTACACAAGTACACTGATACCAGTTCTGAACAAGGATAACTGTTCACCTCTCCCCTCAGAGAACCTGGACTTTTCCAGTTGCCACAAAGTATTAGGAATAGTGACTGTAAATGTTCAGTGTAATTATTTGGTATTTTATTTGACTGTTTTGACCACATCATTTTATAGCAGCATTTCTTAATGGCACTTTTTTTGGTGGTGTGGAATTTCTGCAGTTACCTTCTTCTTCTTCTTCTTCTTTTTCTTCTTCTTCTTCTTCTTCTTCTTCTTCTTCTTCTTCTTCTTCTTTTTCTTCTTCTTCTTCTTCTTCTTCTTTTTTTTTTTTTTTGCTATGGATAAAGCAAAAAAGAAAAACCAAACTCATTGGAGAAATGGTGAGTGTAAAAAATAAGAGATTTATTTTGTATAGACAGCAAAGCATCCTGTGTAATGTTGCTGACATAAAGCACTTTGGGGGGAAAAAGTGGAAATCTGTTTTCCATAAATCACACAGCTCTTGTACATAGTTATATACACTCACGTAGAGAAGTGAACTGCGTATATCATACTGGATATGGGGCCGATTTTACTCTTGAGGCACATCTGGTGCTTATTGTCATAAATCTTTTAAAGAATTAGGTACACTTTTTTTCTATTAATATGTATAGTTTTGTGATTTGTCACAGTTATGTTTCATATAATCATAAGTTATTTTGTCTTGTTTCATGAAGTCCTTTTTATATGTCAAAAGTGAAATGAAGGGATTGTGCACTTGGTACAGAATAAAACTGGAAATAGAGAATACGCCCTCCTGCCTGAGATCTCCTTTGGCATATTGCTTTGAAACACAATGGCAGTGAGACTGTTGTTTGTTTGTTTATTTTATTATTTTGTTTTGTTTTGCCATCAGCCTCCTATGTATTGGGATGGTAATTATAATTAAAAGCAGATGGGAGGGGGAAGGGTCCAAGGCCAGCTTTAAAATGCCGCATTGCTTTGGGCCAGAGCTGCAGCCTGGATTTAATTATAGATATGAGGACGAAATGGCAGTAAAAATGAATGTCTCCCCGAATCCTTTACATGTTGGGAGTGTCCATAAATAAAACATGAAGTTTTATTTCATCAGATTTAATTAAAGCTTTTATACATGTTTTATTGGTTATTCTATTAATCCGCTTCACAAACTGGATAAATGTGTGCTAGGGTTTGGAGTTTATTTGTGCCTTTTCAATGTAGCGCTACATCATGCTTCAGAAATGCCTCTAGTGCTTGGTACTCGGAGTGCGGGTTTCAGCATGCTGGAGGTGGGAGGAGGGGAATTGTAGCCCCATTTTCCTAAAACCCTACACAGCAAGACACAAGCATGGGCTTCTCAGGAGATGATTCCCTGACTTTTCAATCCTCTGATTCCTTGGGAGATCAGAAAGGGGCAGTGACCCATTTCCTGGTGTCCCCATCCTATCCTTCCTCTGGGTCCATCCATTGAGTGGATGGGAGGGGTCAAGATAGTCTCCCACCTGGATGGCCTGTTAGCCAAGCACAGGAATCTCAAAGCCCATCTGGAGCATTCTTAGCTGAATTTCTCAATACATTTTTAAGACTTGATAATGATTTTAAGGAAAAGGAAAAAACATAAGAGACAAGGGTCTCATGTGCCCACCCTGTCAGGCTCCTCGGGATGAGTGAACAGACACCTTGTGGTTCAGGATTTGTAGGTAGAAAAGGCTCTGACTGAAAAGATGCAAAGAGCTCCTATACTTCTTAAAATTACATTGGCTGGTGGGAGTGATTTGGTCCAACCTGTTGGAGAACAGTTCAGCATTAAATAGGAGAGTTGAAGAAATGTCTATCCAATGACCCAACAATTCCACTCTTCTT